ACCCGGTTTGGTACGCTGTGCCGGCCACAACCGGTTGGGTACACTGCCGTCCACACCAGGTTGGTACGCTGTGCCGGCCGCACCACCGTTGGTACGCTGTGCCGTCCGCACCCGTTTGGTACGCTGTGCCGGCCGCACCCGGTTGGTACGCTGTGCCGGCCGCACCCGGTTGGTACGCTGTGCCGGCCGCACCCGGTTGGTAACGCTGTGCCGGCCGGCACCCGGTTGGTACGCTGTGCGGCCGCACCCGTTGGTACGCTGTGCCGGCCGCACCCGGTTTGGTACACTGTGCCGGCCACACCAGGTTGGTACGCTGTGCCGGCCGCACCCGGTTGGTACGCTGTGCCGGCCGCACCCGGTTGGTACGCTGTGCCGGCCGCACCCGGTTGGTACGCTGTGCCGGCCGCACCCGGTTGGTACGCTGTGCCGGCCGCACCCGGTTGGTACGCTGTGCCGGCCAGCACCCGGTTGGTACGCTGTGCCGGCCGCACCCGGTGGTACGCTGTGCGGCCGCACCCGGTTGGTACGCTGTGCCGGCACACCCGGTTGGTACGCTGTGCCGGCCGCACCCGCTGTTGGTACGCTGTGCCGGCCGCACCCGGTTGCTGTACGCTGTGCCGGCCGCACCCGGTTGGTACGCTGTGCCGGCCGCACCCGGTTGGTACGCTGTGCCGGCCGCACCCGGTTGGTACGCTGTGCCGGCCGCACCCGGTTGGTACGCTGTGCCGGCCGCACCCGGTTGGTACGCTGCTGTGCCGGCGCACCCGGTTGGTACGCTGTGCCGGCCGCACCCGGTTGGTACGCTGTGCCGGCCGCACCCGGTTGGTACGCTGTGCCGGCCGCACCCGGTTGGTACGCTGTGCCGGCCGCACCCGGTTGGTACGCTGTGCCGGCCGCACCCGGTTGGTACGCTGTGCCGGCCGCACCCGGTTGGTACGCTGTGCCGGCCGCACCCGGTTGGTACGCTGTGCCGGCCGCACCCGGTTGGTACGCTGTGCCGGCCGCACCCGGTTGGTACGCTGTGCCGGCCGCACCCGGTTGGTACGCTGTGCCGGCCGCACCCGGTTGGTACGCTGTGCCGGCCGCACCCGGTTGGTACGCTGTGCCGGCCGCACCCGGTTGGTACGCTGTGCCGGCCGCACCCGGTTGGTACGCTGTGCCGGCCGCACCCGGTTGGTACGCTGTGCCGGCCGCACCCGGGTTGTTGCCGGCCGCACCGGTACGCTGTGCCGGCCGCACCCGGCCGCACCCGGTTGGTACGCTGTGCCGGCCGCACCCGGTTGGTACGCTGTGCCGGCCGCACCCGGTTGGTACGCTGTGCCCGGCCGCACCCGGTTGGTACGCTGTGCCGGCCGCACCCCGGTTGGTACGCTGTGCCGGCCCCGCACCCGGTTGGTACGCTGTGCCGGCCGCACCCGGTTGGTACGCTGTGCCGGCCGCACCCGGTTGGTACGCTGTGCCGGCCGCACCCGGTTGGTACGCTGTGCCGGCCGCACCCGGTTGGTACGCTGTGCCGGCCGCACCCGGTTGGTACGCTGTGCCGGCCGCACCCGGTTGGTACGCTGTGCCGGCCGCACCCGGTTGGTACGCTGTGCCGGCCGCACCCGGTTGGTACGCTGTGCCGGCCGCACCCGGTTGGTACGCTGTGCCGGCCGCACCCGGTTGGTACGCTGTGCCGGCCGCACCCGGTTGGTACGCTGTGCCGGCCGCACCCGGTTGGTACGCTGTGCCGGCCGCACCCGGTTGGTACGCTGTGCCGGCCGCACCCGGTTGGTACGCTGTGCCGGCCGCACCCGGTTGGTACGCTGTGCCGGCCGCACCCGGTTGGTACGCTGTGCCGGCCGCACCCGGTTGGTACGCTGTGCCGGCCGCACCCGGTTGGTACGCTGTGCCGGCCGCACCCGGTTGGTACGCTGTGCCGGCCGCACCCGGTTGGTTCGCTGTGCCGGCCGCACCCGGTTGGTACGCTGTGCCGGCCGCACCCGGTTGGTTCGCTGTGCCGGCCGCACCCGGTTGGTTCGCTGTGCCGGCCGCACCCGGTTGGTACGCTGTGCCGGCCGCACCCGGTTGGTTCGCTGTGCCGGCCGCACCCGGTTGGTACGCTGTGCCGGCCGCACCCGGTTGGTTCGCTGTGCCGGCCGCACCCGGTTGGTACG